TGAGATGATGACATTTCTGAGCATTTTTGTAGCTGAGCGTGGTGGTTTACACCTGTCATCTCAGCACTGAAGAAGCCGAGGCAGGAGGATGGCAAGTTGAGTGCCAGTCTGGGCTTATAGTGAGAGCCTGTTTTTAAAAACTAAGGACTAGGTGGTGGAGAAGCAGCTTATCATGAATCCGTGAGGATGAGAACACACATAAAACCTTGGCATGGTGGCCTGAATCTGTAATCCCAGCAGTGAGGCTGAAGAAACAGGTGGATCCTCAGCCTTCCTACCCAGCCAGGTCAGCTCGTTGAAGCTGAGACCAGTGTGCTACCCACAAGGTGGGACTGGAAAGAGAGCTCAGTGGCTAAAATGCACTTAGTGAATAGAGTTCAAGGCTGGGAACTCACCTAAAGGTGAAAAGAGAGAACCAGCTCTGCAAGGTTGTCCTCTAAGCTTAGCGGGCACTCCCCCCAACACACACACAGTAATAATACAATTTCTAAAACGAGGTAGATGGAGTTCTGAAGAACATCGGCAGTCCACTTTAACATCCACACGAATGTGGAATATGTGTGCATACACCTGCACCCGCCAAAATAAAAACAAGGACACACACAGAGAGCTGAGAATGTAGCTCGTCGGTAGGTGCAGGACCCTGGGATCAGCCCCCAGGACCCTGGGATCAGCCCCACAGCAAACAACGGCATCTTTACAGAGTTTTCTAGATGTTTACTTTCTCACAAAGCATTTTACATCAAACTGTAAAGAATTGTTCAGAAAGAACGTGAAATACAGGTGAAATACCGGCCCTCAGGGCTACTTAAGGGATGAATTAACAGATGTTGGTGTTAACTGTCAACTTGACACAATCTAGAATCAGCCGGGAAGAGAGTTTCGGTGTGGGATTCTGTGGATCAGGTTAGACGGTGGGCATGCCTGAGACACAGCATCTTGGTTAGGTCAATTGATGTGGGAAGACCAACCCCCTGTGAATAGCACCATTCTGGAGTTTGAATTCTGAATTATCAAAGAGGAGGAGCGAACAAGTTCAGGCACTTGAATGAATGGCTTCCAGGCATCCGTTCATTTCCTCTCTGCTCTCAGCTGTGGGTCTGGTGTGGCCCCATCCCTCAGACTTCTACTGTTGTGACTTCCTGGATGTACTTGCTATGTTGGGCACTAACCTGGAACTGAGCCAAAATATACCGTTTCTCATTTAAGTTACTGTTGGTCAAGTTTTTGTTGTTGTTGCTGTTTTGTTTTAAGTACAGCAACATGTTTACCTGAGAAAAACTTTTTTTTTCCAGCCAATCATCTGGAAAATTCAAAAAGAAAGGCATATAAATATCAGAAATCACTGTAAACTGGTAGGATGAGGGGAGCCATTTATTCTTTTGTAGGGAAACACATCCTCACCTGTACTTCTATCCACATGCCTGAGAGAAAAATAATCTTCACATACAGCCTCTGAGCAAACCAAAGTCCTTTTCCATTCTGGGATGCTGGGTCCCCATCCCCTTTGGACAAGGCCTCTCTTAGATGCTGAGACCTCCTTTTCACATGGGAATGCATAGGGATTTTCCCTACAGCAGACCCAGAGCAAAGGCTATGGATGGCTCAGTGTGCCACTTGCCAGATTTTGAGCTAAATTTGGAATTAATAAAGTTTTCAACTGAGCTATTATTTTGTTATATAGGGGAAATATGCACTGATACCATTTGCCCACATGTTTAAATTGTTTGGCTCCATAAAAAGCCAAGTTTTAAAATGAGAATTTTTGGCAAGGCAGAATCTCTTGATAAAAAGCATGTGTTAAAAAGAGCAAAACTGGAGTGGGAGGATATGTTTTTACTCTGGAACTGAGGACGAGTAATTTCTCTCCAACGGAACTATAAATCAAACCCCTATATTGCCATGTTTACCAAAAGAGAGCTGAACCTGATTTCAGAAAAGTATAGGGTCAGGTCAGACAATTACATATAGCCTCTGTTTTATGTGTGTATGCATGCACTCCAGAAGGTGTGTGTAACTATTCAGTATGTGATTGTGGACAAAACACACAGAACAAAACTCTCAGAAAAAAAAAAAAAAAAAAAAAAAAAAAAAAAACAACTCAATGAGACTAGAACTAAAAGTCAACTCTATGGAGACCTGAGAATTCTGCTCTTTCCTTGTTGCTACTTTTCCTTTTCAGCGTTCTGCCTCTTGACTGGAAGGGGAAAAGCCTGGAGACAGACACAGAATGAGTCTGAGCTTTTGACATGAAGGAGTTAATGAGGCTTCTCCCAGGAGCTGTGAACAGAACTTCTAGCTTGGACTGAATCGCAATTAGAGCAGTAGAGGGAGTACTGTGACTTCTTCCTGCCAGCCATGCTTAGAGTACTCAGTACCCAGGAGCACATGCCCCTGCATTCTTTCCTCAAGGTGACAAGGTTAGCCTCCATATCTATCCAGCAACAACCAGTAATAATTATTGCCTCCTGCATTCCTCCCTTCATTTAAAATGAACCGTGGATTAGGTAGGAAGAGTGACTTTTAACTTTAAGTATACACCTTCAGTAGAAGATTTTATGTAAGAAATAAGATGTTGATATGTAGCCCACTTGGTAGAGGGCTTGCTTGCCATGTAAGAGGTCCAGGCTATGCTCTTGGCATGGCAGTGCAATTCTGTAATCTCATCAGGAAGAACTTGGGACTTGGAATCAGGAAGATCAGAAGTTGAAAGTCACCTTCAGCAACACAAGGAGCTTAAAGACTACAGCCTTGGCTAAAAGAGAGCTAAAAAACAATAGAAAGAAAGAAAAAGAAAAGAAGGAAAGAAATGAAGAAAAAAAGAAAGAAAGAAAGAAAGAGAGAGAGAGAGAGAAAGAAAGAAAGAAAGAAAGAAAGAAAGAAAGAAAGAAAGAAAGAAAGAAAGAAGAGAGGAAGGGTGAAAAGGTGGAAGGGAGGGAGGGAAGCAATCTGCATTGACCAAACAAAAAGCCCTGCACCTCTCAATTTCTTTAAATTTCATGCACAAACAGGATGCTCACACAGAATGACAGAAACAAAGGAGTCTCCTGTCCATCACATCCTATTTCCGAGTGCTGTGAAAGCATCTAAATTTGAAGCTGATTTTGTTGTTAAGTACAGCAGTGTCCTGAACGGAAAAGGCCAGATTTGGAACAATCAAAGTGTGAAGCCCAGGTGCACAAGACAGAGCAGGGGCCTCAGACCTTTGCTGGCCACTCCTCCAGCAGTTCATGGTGTCTGTCCTTGTCCCAGTTTACCTTCGTTATACACCATTAGCGAAATGTAAAGAAAGAAAAGCATCTGTAGTTGACAACACTGAGTCCTCATAGTGATGTATTTGGAGATTTTGGTTTGGAGGGATTTTTCTCTTAGCTGTCACATTGCTGGAGTAATGTGACATGCCCAAGACTCAGGCCAACATCATGAGAGTCAAGACTGAATCATGCTATTGTCTAGCTCCAACACCCATGCTTGTGGCTTCACTGAGCCCTGAAGATACACACTGCAAAGCAGGAGGCCCCCTGTGTGATGAAGCAAGCTCTGAAGAAGCTGCAATGCTGATGTAGCTGGGACCTTATTATAGAGCAACTGATGAGGGCAGAAGAATGGGACTTACAAAGAGGGTCAAAGTACAAGGAAGATCAGAGCATCAAGGAGACAAGAGATGATAAGAAGGACAGCCACTGGGAGAACAAGAGGTGAGCCTCTATGGGAGTCCCTAAAAGAATAGTAGGTATTATTTTACCAATATAAAGTATAACATGTCTTTGTATTGTATAACAGAAACTGTTCTAGGAAAATCAAAAACACCATTCATTGTCTCCAATACCCCATTATACTTTTACCCATGTCTGACTTTTTGTGGTTTACTACCTTGGCTGCGGGTGGGGGAGGGAGAGACTGTCAAGCCAGTGAGAGTCTTATTTGCTGAATAGTCGATCCAATCCTAGGTAAACTGGCTTAGTTCTAATGGGCCCGCCACGCTGAGGGCTGTATGCAGCTGTAGGGACAACCTCCTGATTCTTCGAGAAAGACACACCTGTGCAGTCCCCAAGCTCCCCAGCCCACTCTGCACATTCGAGTTGCAGTTTAATGTTGATTATTTCTCATTTCTGCATTGTTTGTATTTGCCAAAAGGATTCTTTGGTTAATTAGGGAAACAGGTTTAGGGGATAAAAATGCATGGGCTACAGAAAATAATTGCATGTGAGATACAGGGCTTTTGCAACATCATCTGCTCAGACTCTCTCTGGCTTTCTACCTCCAGCAGCCTCCGCCAATCTGTGTCCACTGGGAAGAATCTTTTCAAACACAGAGAGTAATTAAGACATTTTTGGCGCTGAGTGGAAGCTCCTCAAGAGTTTCATAGTTCAGTCGGTCTGAAAGCATCCCTCATGGACTACAGGCCCTCTACAGCCGTCTAGTAAGCTGGAAAGCCACGTTAAAACTGTGTGTGTTTGGGGGGGAGCAGCCTTATAAAGTAGTCCAACACTAACCACATAGCTTGATCCTGTCACTTGCAGCTGTGGCTTTCTGTGTGTGTTCTGGTTTCTGAGTGCATGTGCACACGATGCAAACACCTGAGTGAAGCTAGAGGTCATTTATCAGATACCATCCACCTTAAAAAAAATCAGGTCTCTCACTGGCCTCTAACTAGCCAATGGATTCTAGGCTGACCAGCCAGAGCTCCTCACAGTCTCCCTGTAACTGCTCCTCAAAGCTGGAATTATCAAGTGCAAACCAACCATGCTGGATTTCTGTTTAAGATTTTTAATTGTTTTTTGTTTTTACTTTCTTGTGGGGGGAGGGTTACAATGAGCTTTATCAAGGGTATTCAAGAGAGTAGGGCTCCCTGGCCCCTTCTGCTATTCTGGGGGTCCGGGATAGAAACTCAGGTAGATGCTCAGTGTCAGGGGTTGAGTTGGGGCAGGGACTCCTCGGCCACCAAGGGCCTCTGTCTAGCTCTCATGTTCTTGCTGAGGTGGGTGGTCCAGGGCTTCTTACTCCTTGGAGGCCATGTAGACCATGAGATCTAGCACCCTGCAACTGTAGCCATATTCATTGTCATACCAGGCAACAAGCTTTACAAAGTTGTCATTGAGGGCAATGCCAGCCCCAGCATCAAAGATGGAAGAGTGGGAGTCAGTGTTGAAGTCACAGGAGACAACCTGGTCCTCAGTGTAGCCCAGGATGCCCTTTAGTGGGCCCTCGGATGCTTCCTTCACCACCTTCTTGATGTCATCATACTTGGCAGGTTTCTCCAGTCGGCATGTCAGATCCACAACAGACACGTTGAGGGTAGGAACACGGAAGGCCATGCCAGTGAGCTTCCCGTTCAGCTCTGGGATGACCTTACCCACAGCCTTGGCTGCACCAGTGGATGCAGGGATGATGTTCTGGGCAGCCCCACGGCCATCACGCCACTGCTTTGCAGAGGGGCCATCTACAGTCTTCTGGGTAGCAGTGATGGCGTGGACTGTGGTCATGAGTCCTTCCACGATGCCAAAGTTGTCATGGATGACCTTGGCCAGGGGAGCTAAGCAGTTGGTGGTGCAGGAAGCATTGCTGACAATCTTGAGTGAGTTGTTATACCTCTCATGGTTCACGCCCATCACAAACATGGGGGCATCAGCGGAAGGGGCAGAGATGATAACCCTTTTGGCCCCACCCTTCAAGTGGGCCTCTGCCTTCTCCATGGTGGTGAAGGCACCAGTAGCCTCCACAATATACTCAGCACCAGCATCACCCCATTGGATGTTAGCAGGATCTTTCTCCTGGAAGATGGTGATAGGCTTGCCGTTGATGACAAGCTTCCCATCCTCGGCCTTGACTGTGCCATTGAACTTGCCATGGGTAGAGTCATACTGGAACATGTAGGCCGTGTAGTTGAGGTCAATGAAGGGGTCGTTGATGGCAACAATCTCCACTTTGCCAGAGCTGAAGGCAGCCCTGGTAACCAGGCGTCCAATACGGCCAAATCCATTCACTCCAACCTTCACCATTGTGTCTAAGGATTAAGGCTGGCACTGCACGAAAAGATACAACTGTCTCTGGAACAGGAAAGAGCAGAGAGCCTGTTTTTACTTTTTTAAAATTATCTATCTATCTATCTATCTATCTATCTATCTATCTATCTATTAGCTTTACATCCTTATTGCAGACCCCTCTCCTCCCAATCCCCCTCTTTGCATGCTTTCCCCACACTCTTCCCTCTCATTCTGCTCAGAAAAATGGGAGGTCACCCATGGGTACCAACCCACCTTGGCACATTAAGTTCCTGCAGACCTAGGTGTGTTCTCTCCCACTGAGACCAGACAAGGCAGTCCAGTTAGGGGAATGGAATCCAGAAGGAGGCATCAGCGTCAGAGAGGGCTCCTGCTCCAGTTGTTGGGGAATCTACATGAAGACCAGGCTGTGCAGCTGCTACATATGCACACAAGGCCTAGGACCAAGCTATGTATGCTCTTTGGTTTGTGGTTCAGTCTCTGTGAGCTCCCATGGGTCCAGGTTAGTTAACTCTGTAGGTCTTCTTGTAGAGTTCTTGACTTCCCTGGCTCCCTCAGTCATTCCCCCAACTCCTTTATAGGACTCCCTGAGCTGTCTAATATTTGGCTGTGGGTCTCTGCATCTGTTTCCATCAGCCACTGAGTAAAGCCTCAAAAAGGAGTTATGCTAGGCTCCTATTTGCAAGCACAGCAAAGTAACATTAGTAGTGTCAGGGGTTGGTTTTCTCCCCCGTGAGATAGTAAGATTTTTTATTTTTTTAAAGATATTTTCATTTTTTAAGATTTTTCAAGATTTATTTATTCGATTTATATTAGTGTTTTGCCTGCCTGTGTGTAGGGGCACTGTGGGCATACCATAGTGCCCTCAAAGAACAAAAAAAAGGGAGTCATATACCTTGGAACTGGAGTTACAAATGGTTGTGAGCCACCACAAAATGCTGGGAATCAAGCCCTGGTCATCTAGAAGAACAGCCAGTGCTCTTAACTACTGAGCTATCTCTGCAGCCCATACATTAAATATATTTTAAATATCAATACATAATATGTGATATGATATATAAATATATTAAATATGTATATATTCTGAAGGTAGAACTTAGGTCCTCAAGAATAGCAAGCACTACCCATTGAGCCAACTCTGCAGCCCAATGCTGTTCTATCACAGAAGAGCAAACTGAAGCTGCAGAGATCAACTGAAAAGCTACCACAGAAGTAAGATCCACAACAGGGAGGTGAGGCAGAACCAGCTTTAAAAGTCAGCCATTCCTCATTTAGACAGTAAGACTGATCCAAGTTAATTTCACAGTTGTGGAGTATGATTGTGTATATAAATACATAACATACTTGTATAACTGTATATACATAAATGTACTTGTGTATTTGTTTATGTATTTATATATAATTAATATACATAAAATATTCTTAAATGTATTTAACATATATTTAACTTATTGGTATATTTATGCTCATAAAGTCACAATGGTAATTAAGGTGATATTAAGCTAATCTGACAAGAAATAAAAACAATTTAAAAAGTGCAGAAGGAAAATAAGGAAGAAAAAAAACACTGAAGAATGTAGAGGTACTTCAGTCATCCCTGTGTTTATTTATTCAACAAACACAGACCTCCCATCAGGCTCCAGTTTGTTGACCATGAGGTAAGGACAGATAAAACAGAACTAAGCCCCCCTTTAAGCCAGGAAAACCCAACACAAAAACAAAGTGCCATCAGGGATATGGACCTTGATGATTTTGTCTGTCCACAAAGTGCTCAGCTGCTGAGGAAAGACACTGGTCCCAGGGGGATACAGAAATACAGACATGGTACACACACCTACTCTTTGCCATGTACTAACCTGCAGTCCATCTTGTACAACATCTTTCTCTCTGAAGAGGCAATGTGCAGTCCTAGAGAATTCGGAACTGCTACTGTTTGATGTCACAATCACAGAGACTTGAAGAATATGAAGGAGCTAAAGAGACTGACCATTTATGCTTCTTCCCCAAGGAGAGTAAAGGAACAAATGGGAACAAGACTTTCAGATAAGTGGCTGTAAGCATGAAGTCACAACATGAAGTCACAAAAGGATGGTCAAGAGTACCCAAGGCTTCACTCAAACATCAAGTATGTGTCTTGATGTGATCACAGACATGGGAGTCAAGACAGCTTTTAAGATGGGAGGTTGTGGATGACTTAATGCCTAAAAATAGAAGTAAAGTATATCAGTAGTACAAGGAACTTGGAGAACATCTGGAGAGGTGGGGAGAGGTGATCTTTAATTTTGACATGTAGACATGAAGGAGTCAAGACTGCTGCTCTACCTCATATCTTCCTTGTTCTAACAGTTGGACTAGCATGCTAGTGTCTTTAGCTTAGAGGGGAAAAACACCACCACAAGCTAAGATGAAGGGTTTAATAATTAAGTCAGGCTCCAGAGCAGTATTGATGATTCAACAAAAGGAGAAGTTTGCATTATTAACTGTTCTGTTCATCTTCTCTGAAGATGTGTTCCCAAGGGTATTAAAGTTAGTTCATAATTTCTCTAGTTTTTAAACATCACCTTTTGCTGAATATCCCCCTATTGATGGTCAGCCTCCATGGATGGTGGCATTGTCTCAGTAGGGGTATCTTTTAAAAAGATCACAAATGAGAACTCATTGAGAGGACTTAGCACCTAGACTGCAAATTTTTCCAGTACAATCATGCTTTTGCAGATAAAATGTACTTGTAAGGTGAATCATGAACATCCCTCTTTGGATCTCACCCTGTCCCCTCAGTTACATACTCAAGTCTCAGAGACAGGTAAAAAAATAGCCTTGATGTTCCTCAGCCCTCAACAAGAAATCGTGGGTCTTCCTGAAGGATACCTGCTGTGGCTCATTGTCCTCCCAGCTCCGACTTTTTCATCTCTGCTAATTGTGCTCTCCAAACCCCAAAGTCTCAGAGTCGCCACTGTGCTTCTAGGGACCTGCTTTCAAGCTGAGCACAGTAGCACATGCCTGCCATACATCAGGAAACATGGCAAGAGGGATTAAAGGACATCTTTAATCTTTGCAAAACACTAAGGTTAGCCCAGGCTACATGAAACTCTTATCTCCAAATTAATTAATTAATTAATTAGCTAATTAAATGAGTAATGGTTGTGGAGGGAAGATAACCCAGTGGAGAATGTGCTTGCCTTGTAAGAACAAGAACCTGAGTTTGATGCCTCAGAACCTATATAAAAATAGTTGTGTATGCTTGCAATCCTGGAGCTACAGGCCAGAAGGATTTCTGAGGCTAGCTAGCCAGGCAGCCTAGCCTGGTAAGCTCTGGGCTAATGAGAGACCGTGTCTCATTGGAGGTGGATGGGGTTCTTGGAGACCACCTTGAAGGTGGTTTTCTACGCATCTGCCTATAAACCTGCACATAGACAAACAGCACACAGAAACATGCATGCAAATACAAGCATTAAAAATGTAAGGAACTTACTCCCACAAGTGCTTGCCTCCACTGTGGTTCTGTCAAGGTCATACTTCAAAGGCTTTGTCCTCAACCTGGTTTTGTACCCATCAGTTCTCAATCCAACCTGTGCACACCCTCCTCTGAGAGCCAGGACTTTTCAGGGAAGCCATTGATACTACCTCTTCCTAGGCCAGGAGTCATGATGACTCAAAAGCCCAGAAGAAGACATTGAGCTTCATAGGCCAAACCAGGCCTGTGCTTTCATCCAAACAAGATGGGCTCTAACTAGGGTTTCTATTACTGTGATGAAACACCATGCCCAAATCAACCTGGGGAGGAAAGGGTTTATTTCACTCACACTTCCATATAGCAGATCATCATCAAAAGCAATGAAAGCAGGAACTCAAACAGGCCAGAACCTGGAGGCAGGAGTTGTTACTGAGGCCACAGAGGAATCGTGCTTACTGGCTTGCTCCTCATGGCTTGCTCAGTTTACTTTCTTATAGAAACCAGGAACACAAGCCCAGGGATGGCGCCACCCACAATGGGCTGGGTCCTCTCCCATCAATCACTAATTAAGAAAATGCCCATCAGGCTTGCCCATACCTGCATCATTGGATGGAGACATTTTCTTGTTTGAGGCTCTCTCCTCTCTGATGACTCTTGATTGTGTCAAGTTGACATAAAACCTGCCTGGACACCACTATAAATAGTGATTTTGCTAACTTGAGTTATAACTCTCCTAGACTCAAGCATTCCTCTCACAGGTCTTAGCTTAGATTCTCCCAAAATATAACTACTAATCATTGTTCAGACTCATATCATCTTCCTCCTCAGCACACTCTGGCCCTTCTTAATATGCTCTTTTCTGTGTTATTCAGCCATGGTGCCAGTTTTCTATAACTTTATTTATTCTTTTCCTTTTCTTTTTTGTTTTTTTTGTTTTTGTTTTGTTTTGAATTTTGGTTTTCAAGACAGGGTTTTCTCTATGTAGACTTGGTCGTCTTAGACTTGCTTTGTAGACCAGGCTGGCCTCAAAATCACAGAGACCTGCCTGCCTCTTCCTCCCAAGTGCTGGGACTAGAGGTGTACACCACTGCACCCAGCTATTTTTTTTTAAAAGTCCCTCTCATGTGAGATCACAAGACAGAATTCACTGCAGGAAGATTGCCTCCCAAAGCAGTTGCTTCACTGGTATGCATGGTCCATGGCCACTCCTGAAGTGATGGAAGGAAACCTCACAGGTGACAAATCTCTGCAGGTTATATGGAGCACGTAAGAGGTCACAGGTAATCTCTAAGGGTATTGTGTCACCAACTTTGTCGGTGAAGTAATCTTCCTTGGCCCCATCAAACCACAAGCATTAAACTTTCTCAGTCTCTTTAAGTTTCTCATACTCTTTGGTGTCTGGCAGGAAGCCTGGATTCATCCAGGTCTTCAAAACCCAGCCTATATGGTTAGTTGCTTCTAGAAAATCCCAGATGAACAAGCATTGCAAAGTCAGCCTGTTAAACATTGAATGGCTTCTTTAGGAGTATAGATTTTAGTATATTTA